GTGACTTGGCGCCACGTGAGCGGCTGGGGAAGGAAAACCCGCACCGCCCACTTCACTCAGAGACACTCAGACACGCTCCCACGTGTCGGCGATAAACAGACTTTCCTCAGCTCCACTCTGACTGGCACAGAGGTGACTGGTGTTTTAAAGGGTGCGCAACGGAGGGGGACACGCTGGGGCTCAGGAGTCCGCGAAATGAGAATTTGCAAAGGGCCGGTCAGCATCTGTGCAGTTGGGCCCGGTGTCAGCCAGCTGGACGGATGGAAGCCAGGCTCCCACGGGAGTGGAGAGGCCCGGCCCTCCTGACCCTGCATTGTAATGGATAAGGACAGCAGGGCAAGTGGTCTCAGGTCCTGTATATCCAGGCTTCTTACACTTAAGGACACATCCTTCTCTTTGTCACAGCTGCTCTCCCTCACGGATTTTCCTTCTTCACTCTGAGCCCCCAGAGGATCTCAAATCCTCCTGCTCCTTCACTACGTTTGATCTCACTGACCATCCCCTGGTCCCCTAGCTTAGGGCTCCTCCATCTCAGCAGCCTGAGAGCCCACCACCCTGCCCAGCAGATCCCACCGCCACCACCCCATCTCACACCCGCTCCTAGCAGGTTTCACTCTCTTCCTCCCCCACTCTGGCACTAGCCTTAAAGTGTCCCCTTCTGGAAATTGCTGGCGCCAAATCTGGCTTCATGCCCAGGAGGGCCACACAGATACCCTCCACCAGCAGGCCCCTGCCCCCTCAGCCGGAGCGGGTGCTGTCCCTGACAGGGACCCACTGTAAACCTATCAGGAAGGGCAGGCAGGTCTCAGGTCTGAAGACCACACTGTTCTCTGCCTAGAAGGACTGCAAAACGCAGCCCACAAAGCAGTAAATTATAAAAAACTAGTGGCCCAGTGCACAAAATTTGTGCGGGGGGGGGGGGCGTTCCTCAGCTCAGCCTATACCCTCTTCAATCAGGGACCTCTTGGGGGATGTCTGACTGCCGGTTTAGGCCTGATCCCGCCTAAACTGGCAGTTGGACATCCCTCTCACAATCTGGGACCACTGGCTCCTAACCACTCACCTGCCTGCCTGCCTGATCACCCTAACCCCTCTGCCTGTCTTCCTGATCACACCTAACCTCTCTGCCTGCAGGCCTGATCACCCCTAACTGCCCTCCTCTGCCAGCCTGATCTTGCCCCCAACTGCCCTCCCCTGCAGGCCTGATCTCACCCCCAACTGCCCTCCCCACCAGCTTGATCACCCCTAACTGCCTCTGCCCTAGCCCTCACCACCATGGCTTTGTCTGGAAGGAAGTCAGACATCCAGAAGATGCCCAGTTGACTCGGTCTAATTATCATATTGCCCTTTTATTAGCATAGACTAGAAGTCCAGTGCACGATTCAATTGTGCGCGGTTAGGATCCCTAGGCCTCGCTGGAATCAGGGCCATGTCCACCACCCAGCATCACTCCTCCACCTCCGTGGCCCCTGCCTTGTGAACCTCCATGCTCACAGCCCCTGCCCTGCAAGGCTCCTCGGCCTCTGCTGCCCACGCCCCACGATGCTCTTCTGCCTCAGCCACCCCACAAAGCTCCATGCTAGCAGCCCCTCCCCTGCAAGGCTCCTCGGCCTCAGCCACCCCCACACCACGATGCTCCTCGCCTCAGCCATCCCACAAAGCTCCACGGCTCGCTGCCCCTACCCCACGATGTTCCTCCACCTCAGCCACCCCGGGAAGCTCAATGCTAACATCCCCTGCCCGCAAGGCTCCTCGGCCTCAGCCACCCCCATGCAGCGACGCACCTCTGCCTCACTGCCCCATGAAGCTCCATACTCACAGTCCCTGCCCCATGACGCTCCTCTGCCTCAGCCACCCTGGGAAGCTCCATGCTCACAGCCCCCTCCCCCACAACCCTCCCCCCGCCCCCCGTGAGGCCCGTCAGCCTCTGCAGCCCTGCCCTGCCACGCTGTGAGAGCCAGACTTCTCCTTTGGTCATTTGGGCCCACAGCTCCCACTCCCTCAGCCCCCTAGCCTGCTGTTTGGTCATCCATCTGGTCGTTTCGGTTGTGATGGCACCTGACTTTTTATATATTACCTGCTGAGCTGATGCAGAAAGGAAAGCCATGGAGCGAGGTGTCAGGGGACCAGCGACGCTGGGGAGATGATGATACTAATTGTTCCAGAACCAAGAGGAGGACAGAGTGGCAGGAGGAAAGGAGCCTCGGCCACTGGGGCTGCGACACATTCATGGCCGAGAATCCTCAACACAATTCCAGCCGCTGAGCCCCGGCCCTGGCGGGACAATGGGTCCTGAAACAGCTGTTGCCCTTAAAACCCCTCCTCAGCCCCCACCTTAGGTTCTGCCTTCACAGTTCACCCATCTTAGGTTCTGATTGGTCGGTTTCTATGCCAGTCAGCATCAGAAACTCCGCCTCCTAGGCAGCCATTGGCTCCTCGCAGTTCACCCAGATTTCATTCTGATTGGTTGGTTTCTATGCCAGTCAGCATCTCTGGGCCTATCTCCGGGCCTGATCAGAGAGGCAGGGCTGATCAACAGCCACCCAGACTGCTGGTGAGCAGGGTGAAGTGCTGATCTCTCAGAAAGCGAGGTGCTGCTGCTGGCAAGGCCCTGAGAGAGTATCTCTCGGGGCCTCACCAGCAGCCATGGTAGCTACTGATCAGCCCCGCTTCTCTCTCTCCCGAAAAGGTCAGCAGTTCAGCCTGCTCGCCAGTCCCCGCCCACTGGAGCCTGCTGCATGTACAGCCTGGCATTCGGTTGAGCCTTTGGTCATTACGGACCCTGGGATTTTATATATTAGGATTAGCAGAGGTCACCCAGGAAAGTCATGAAAATCGGCAATCTTCCTCTCTCACCTCACACAGGTCATGAGAAAATAGACCAATCTTGACTCAAGAAGCCTAGAAGAAACAGTCAACTTAAGATTCAAATTATCTGAGAGCAGGAGTCAGCAAACTATGGCACAGGGGCCCAATCGAGCCCACTGCCAGGTCTGATCAAATGATTGAATCGATACCCCCTCCCTTGGCCACTGACCTTTAGGCCCCTTCACAACCGAATTTCCTTTTGCTTAGACCACAATCCACTTGCTAAGACCATGATCTATTCCCCTCAGTACCCACCTAGAGAATTCTCTGCCCAGAAAAAGCCGCCTGGAGTCCTTTAAAACTTCTGACCCCCCATCCCTAGCTGTTGGCCCCATTTTGGGGCTCAGCTCATCTGGTCGCCAGGTGACCTAATAAATTCATAATTCTTGCCCTGACCAGTTTCCCTCAGTGGATAGAGTGTCGGCCTGAGGACTGAAGGGTTCAAGGTTCGATTCTGGTCAAGGGCATTTACCTTAGTTGCCGGCACATCCCCAGTAGGGGGCGTGCAGGAGGCAGCTGATCGATGTTTCTCTCTCATCGATGTTTCTAACTCTCTATCCCTCTCCCTTCCTCTCTGTGAAAAATCAATAAAATATGTTTAAAAAATCAAATAAAAAATAAATTCATATTCTTTACCCCTTTTGGCCTCATGCATTCCTCCTTCAGCAATTCTAACACCCACCACTGTTTTCATAAAAAGCTTTTTTAGGAATGGCCTCACCCACTCCATTAGGGATTGTCCACGACTGCGTTTCTGCTAAAAAGCTGCAGAGTGGAGAGACAGAGACCACGTGGGTCAGAGCCCGAAAGGTGTACCCCCCGGCCCTTCCCAGAAAACGTCTGTCTGGCGTGACCTGGCTCTTCCTCCTCCTGGCTCCCACTTTTCCTCCTCCCTCGGCCTGTAGTCCTTGTCGCCGCTACTCCCTGGTCATCTCCAGCTCATTGTCCAGCTTCAATTTAATTAAAAGAATTAAATCTGATTCAGCTCAATTGTCGCCTCTTCTGTGATGTCTCCTGGATCAGGCACCTGGGTTCAAATCCCACCTCTGCACTTGGCTGTCAGGTGCTAGAGACTCAATGCCTAGTGGTGGAATGAGTTTGGGTGAGCGAGTAAAGCACCGCGAGCCTCAGTTTCCCCATCAGTAAAGTGGGGATAAAGCAACCCTCCTCTGGAGCTATGGAGGGGCCAGGGGTGACTGTCATGGCTGCGACATCACCCCCTGACCTCACTGGTCTGCACAGCAACTGGCACTTCTCCCCACTCTCATCTCTACTCCGACTGTCACTCCCTCCAGGGCAGGGATTCTGTCCCTGCTATTTTGTCTCCTTAGTGCCTCCACCTCCACCCCGGCCGCCCACACGGATGCCCAGCCACTGTCAGCGGAGGGAATGGTCTGGTTCCTGGGGACAGGGACACGGGCTGAGGACGCACCTGGTCGCAGCGGGAGACTCCGTAGCGCAGCTCATTCACAAAGTGCTCACAGTTGTCGCTGGTCAGCTTGTAGTAAATCTCCTGCCCCACCAGCTCCTCCGCCTGCTGCACAATTTTGCTGGGAGGCCTCGGAGAGTACTTCCGGTCATGCTTGTTATTGACACGGTACTTGCGTTTCCCGGCCACTTTGGACAGCAGCTCCTTCTTCACTATGGCCCCCTCGGACCCGGAGACCATGAATTTGGCCAACGTAATTCCCGCGAGTTCACCTGTGGTTCCCAAAGAGGAAAGAGGCCGATGGTTAGGGCTCAGAGCGGGCAAGCAGGCAGCCCCACTGCCCTGGGCTTCATTAGTGAGGATGAGCTGGGGAAAGGCCGGCCCCCCTGCCTGGCTTCAAACTCAAACACAGGCCGACCCCCGCCTGGGTGTCCTTGGAGAAGTCACAGATGCCCCTGGACTCTGGCTCCCTCATTTCTAAAGCCAAGGATGTGGAGTCTTCTAAAGGCCCCTGTGGGCTCAGATGTCCCTGAAAGATGCAGGAGGGGCAGAGGGTACAGGGCACAGACCCCAGGTGCAGCCCTAGCCAGAGTGGGGTGGGGCCCTCAGCGACCAGGGTGACATGTTTTCAATAGTAGGAAAGGAAGCTGCTAAGCAAGCCCAGGCCTTACCTGCAAACCCAGAGCCCCACCCACCCTGTGGCCTCAGGCCAGTCCCTTCTCTTCTCAGGGGCTTTCATCACTTACAGATTGAAGGGCCTGGGTCAGGTGGTGGCCACACTCTCCCAGCTCTGAATTCTCAGATTTGCCCCTAACAGGATGCCCGCCTCCTGCCTCACCCCGGCTTCTGGGAAAGCTGACATGAGAAGCAGAGTGATGGGCCCTGGAACCCTCAGGGAGGAGCCAGTGGACCTGCCAGATGGAGCTGGTCTCACAGAAAGCCTGTTGGTATGAGGTCATACTCTGAACAGCCAGTTCATCCAATGACCAGCTTCTACATTCACTGGCTATGTGTGTGTGTGTGTGTGTGTGTGTGTGTGTGTGTGTGTGTCTACACTTTAGTTCACCAGTTCTTATTTTCTTTTTAAAAGGGCATTTGACCCTGGCCAATGTGGCTCAGTTGGTTGGAGTATTGTCCTGTTCACAGAGCAGGTGAGAGAGAGAAATATCTCACATTGATGTTTCTCTCCCTCTCTCTCTTCCTTTAAAAATCAATGAAAAAATATCCTCAGATGAGGATTAACAAAAACATAAAGCAGTAAGTTATTCCTCCTCAATAAGCCTAATTTTTTAAAGCCTGCATTTGGCTTTCAAATTCACATGTGTATGCACACATCTGCTGTACAGCTGCTTGTAACGGAGGCACCATCAGCCATGAAATGCAGGCACCGATTTTATTTGGCCCGTTCCCTGCTGTTGGTGGTTCCCAGGCTTTCCGCATTTGCTTTAATGCCACGATGCTCTGGGACCGAAGGGAGGTTGGTCCAGCACCCGCCAGGCCCTGCCTGAGCTCCCCTGTGCGGTCCTGCATCCCACCCTGCACGACCGGGAGGTGGGTTCTCATTGCTCTACAGAGGGTGCAGCTGAGCTTAGGGGGAAAGTCACACGGGCAAGTCACAGGTGGGCAAGCGGAGGCCCCAGGACCCCAAACGGGTTTTGCTGGGTTGGAGGCCCTCGCTCCTGCCATGCCTCTGAGCCAGCTGTACGCTGTGTCCTACTCATCTGCCCCCAGAACATCGAGCACACAGAAAGGGGTGCTTCCCTGGGACAGTGAACCCCAGTATCACCTGGAATAAAGGCCAACAGTCTGTCTCTCCACGAACTCGCTGCTGAGGAAAAAAGAGAGGCTGCAGACCTACCAGGTGACATCATGCAGCCAATGGCCAGGGAGTGCCCACCATGCCAGGCACTGGGTGAGAACAGCGCACGGGTGTGCAGCCACTAACACTCCCACCTCTGCCCTGAGCTTAAGCGGAGAACCAGCCTCACCTGGAGGACCCAGGTGCACCACGTAGCCGTCCCCCACGTAGACGGCCCAGTGCGCGATGCCTAGTATGTGGAAAATCTCAATCAGGTCTCCAGGTTTTGGTTCAGCCTGTGACTGAAAAACCAGAGACAGACTGAGGTTAGTCCTCACAGGGAACATTCTAGAACTGACCTGTAAAGGAGCCCCAGCCCAGCCTGCAAGCGCCCTCTGAGCATCTCCTGCAGGAAACGGAAGAGGGCGCTCTCCTCGAACAGATGGGAAGTCCCTCCTTTACTGGAGCTGCTGAGCTGGAAGTGAGCTC